CCACAGTGCCACTTCCGGCTTTTTTCTGCTTATGTGGTGCGGAGGAATCGAACCCAGGGCCTCATACATGCGAGGCAAGCACTCTACCACTGAGCCAACTTCCCAGCCCCGTATAGTTCATTTTCAACATAGTGTCCCATGAATACCATTCAAATTCTTTTATTTGGGGCTGGGAAGGTGACTCAGTGGTGGAGTGCTTGCCTTGCATGCACGAGGCCCTGGGTTTGATTCTTCAGCAACACATAAACAGAAAAAGTCAGAAGTGGTGCTGTGGTTCAAGTGGTAGAGCGCTAGCCTTGAGCTGAAGGGCTCACAGACAGCGCCCAGGCCCAGAGTTCAAACCCCATGACTGACAAAAAAAAAGTTCTTTTATTTTTGCTGGTACCATAGTTTGAACTCAGAGCCCTGGCTTTGCTGGGCTTGTTCAACTGATATTCTATCACTTAAGCCATACCTCCAGCTTGGCTTTTTGCTGGTTAATTATACATGGAGTCCTGCCAAATTCTCTGCTCTGTCTGGCTTTGAACTTTGATTCTCCAGATCTCAGCCAAGGTTACAGACGTGTGCCACAAGAAACAAGCTCCAATTCACTCTTCCTAATTCAGCCATCCACTCCCTACTTCACATTATGATTTAACACCCGTTCAATGCTACTATATACTACCTAGAAAATGGAAGATAATTTGTTCAGTTTAATTTATGCCTATTACAGAGCAAAAATCAGTTGTAGTTAGTAGGAAAAGACTTGGGGATTCACATATAGAATCTGTAATAATAAGTTAATCTTTTTATGCCTCATTTATCTTAAAAGTGGGGGCAAGCTGGGCATTGGGGCTCACATTTATAATCCTAGTTACTTAGGATGCTGAGATCTGAATATACTGGCTCAAAGCTAGCCCAATTAACCAGCAGAAAGCTAAAAGTGGGGCTGTGGCTTAAGTAGAGTGCCAGCACAAGTGGTAGAGCAAAAAGCTAAGAAACAGCACATAGGCCCTTAGTTCAAGCCCCAGTACTATGATGCACACACATACACACACACAAAAGTAGGGGGAATATACAGGTGGGCATAGCTCAGTGATGTCACCACACTAGCATGTATAAAGTCCTATATTTAAGCCTCAGCACCTCAAAACTAAAAGGTAGTGAAATTATGTTTCATAAAACTATTGTACTACTAAATGATGAATGTAGAGCTTGGCACCATTCCTGGGACATAGGAGAGACTAAATAAACTATAGTCATTATTATATTGCCAACTCTTTGAGTGGAGAAGTTATGAAATGTCAGTAAGGGCAATATTTATTTTAAAAACTGAGGAGAAAAAAGTACAACAAATGGTAGAAATGTCTCAGCAGGGGAAAAGAATAGAAGGAATGTGTTAGGTTTTAATTAGGAAGTGCTAATTAGCTTGTTCTTCAAATGAAAGAAATAGAGAATGAAAGGGTAGAATAAGGTAAGAGGAGAACACTGATGATAGTCAATTTTAGAAATTTTGGCAAATGAAGCTGGGCGCTGGTGGCTCACGCCTATAATGCTAGCTACTCAGGAAGCTGAGCTCTGAGGACCAAGGTTCAGAGCCAGCCTGGGCAAAAAAGTCCATGATTCTTATCCTCAATTAACTAGCAAAAATCTGGTTGTGGCAGGGCATCAACCAAGAATACAAAGCCATGAGTTCAAGCCCTAGTACTGGCACAAAAATAAATTGGCAAGTGAATCCTCACTGCGATATAGAGTATCCAGTAGGCTGTGGAAACCAAAATATTTAGTTATAGAGATATTTTCTCTAAGTCACTGGAAAAATACTAATTGTTGCCTAAGGAAAACTACTGAATTCAGTTAAGGAAATAATTCAAGAGTATAAAAAACAAACAATTACTCTTTTTATGTAACCTATGCAACAATGATACAAGATACTATGTTCGAAATGAATTTTACAACTTTGGGGGGAGGGAAGTAGGGGATAGGGAAAGCAGGAGAAAATGAGGGAGGGGGTAGCAATGTTCAACAAGAATTATACTCATTTTCTTATTCATATAACTGCAACCCCTCTGAACATCACCTTTACAACAACAATAATAATAAAGCAATATTATTCTAAAAGCATTTTACAAGAGAAAATATTTTGCTTTGGATGTCCATCAATCAACTGCCCCTTTCTGAGTCCAGTTTATACATATGAAACTACTGCCTCAAAACCAAACCAACAGAAACTACTAAGTCACTCCTAGGCTCTGAAACTGGGTGATAGGTACATGAGGCTTGTTAAAATATTTCAGAATTCTCTATTTTGAGTTATTTTCAAACATCCATATTTTTAAAGCCTCCCAAACATTCATAACATAAAGAGTTTTTAATAGCCTCCCAAATGACATAATACTTTAGCTGTGTGAAATGGGGCACATTAATTTGGGGTCCTGATGTTCTTTTTAAAACAGAGACACTAACACCTACCTTGAAAAGTTAATGTGAAAATTAGAAATAATAAATGTAAGGTATATAGAGGTAACTGGATCATAGCATGTGAATACTAAATAGTAATTGTTGTAGCTATGTATGTACTCTAGAGAGCTTAATGTTCCTAAGTGGGGGTTTATACTTCTTTGCAAGATTAACATTCCAGAGGTACCTATAAAGTAATTTACATAACGTTTTTCAATAATAACCAAATATGGAAATTTCATTTAAGGTTGGCTTATGAACTTCCCACTGTTTATTTTTAATATGGCCATTGAGACAAAATTTGATCCCTTGAAAGATGGATTTTGTTTTTGGATACTATGTTACCCAGTTAATTCTAATGGATGATCAAAGTATGAAATACTAGTGGATAATCAGAGTATGAATTAAGAAAAACTGTGTCAGAATGAGAGAACTTTTTATATGACCCATTATACATAACCAAAAAAAAAGACTGTTTCACCATTGTGTATTCAAGAAATTCCCTTACAACACTAGTTATCCATTCAATGTAACAGCTTTTAATCCTTCTACTTACAGATGTATTACTGTTATTGTTGAGTGCACTGAAAGGGTCAGTACTTGAAGTGACAAAAGGATCAGTAGCAGATTGTTTGAAGAAGCAGTCAGATGCAAATGGATCTGAACCTTTGAAAGGATCACCACCAAATGGATCTAAGAAAATATAAAGTAGAAAGGTAAGAGATTAAAAAATCATTCATTAACTTTCCTAGCGTAAAAGCACTGCCTTAGTAAAAAGACATTTTCAACTGTATAGTAACATCTATTTCAAGTTCCTTTGTGATTTTGATTAAGAATATAGAGCCTTTTACCTACTAAACTTATACTTTTTATTAGTATATAAAATGGACTTGGGGCATGGCCTTAATACTACCAAAAAGCAAACAAACAACCTAACTCTCAATAATAATTTTAAGGTGGGCTGGGAAGGTGGCTCAGTGGTAGAGTGCTTGCCTTGCACGTATGAGGCCCTGGGTTTGATTCCTCAGTACCACATAAGCAGAAAAAAAAAGCCAAAAGTGGCGCTGTGGCTCAAGTGGTAGAGCGCTAGCCTTGAGGTGAAGAGCTGAAGTACAGCGCCCAGGCCCAGAGTTCAGGCCCCACAACCAGACCCCCCCCTCCAAAAAATTTTTTTTAAGGTATTTAAAGTAAATTCCCTTTATTCTATGCATATTATAACTGAAAACTACAACAAAAACTTCAATTTATTCCTTTCTCTCAGCTCAAAGTTAACAGCCAATATTCTTCAACAGGTTTGGAAAACAAAACTAAATGGTAAACAAGACTTACTTTGTTTTTATAAAATGATTAAAAGGGTACTTTAAAAAGCCCAATGTTTAGTAATTCTTCAAGATGGTTGCATTTTTCCCATTCACATATAAACAGGCTATATATACATAGCTCCATAGTAATGTGTATATTATGCTCATCTAAACTTTAGTCAATAAGGAGAAATTAAAAGTCAACATCACTTTTTTGGTGCTGGTGCTAGGACTTGAACTCAGGGCCTGGGCAGTATCCCTAAGCTTTTTTTGCTCAAGTCCAGTGCTCTACCACTTAAGCCACAGTTCTACTTCTAGCTTTGGTATTAATTTGAGGTAAGTCTCATGGACTTTCTTGCCCAGGCTGGCTTTGAACTGCGATCTTCAGACCTCAGCCTCCTGAGAAACTAGGATTACAGGCATAAGCCACTATTGCCTAACTACAGAATATTACTTTTAAGAAGTAAACTGGAGCCGGGCGCTGGTGGCTCACGCCTGTAATCTTAGCTACTCAGGAGGCTGAGATCTGAGGATCACAGTTCAAAGCCAGCCCGGGCAGGAGAGACCGTGAGACTCCTATCTCCAATAAACCACCAGAAAACCGGAAGTGGCGCTGTAGCTCAAGTGGTAGAGTGCTCGCCTTGAGCTGAAGGACAGCGCCCAGGCCCAGAGTTCAAGCCCCATGACCGACAAAAAAAAAAAAAAGAAGTAAACTGGGGGTTAGGAGATATAGCTCAGTGTTATAACACTTGTCTAGCATGTAAAACTCTTAAGTTCATTCTCTAGTACCACAAAAAACAAAACAGAAAACAACAACCAAAAAATGGCTGAGTACTAGTGGCCAATACCTGCAATTCTTACTACTCAGGAGGCTGAGATCTGAGGAACATAGTAAAGCCAGCCTGAGCAGGAAAGTCTGTGAAACTCTTATTTCCATTTAACCACCAAAAAGCCAAAAGTGAAACTGTGGCTCAAGTGGTAGAACTTCAGCTTTGAGCAAAGGAAGATCAAGGATAGTGCACAGGCCCTAAGTTTAAGCCACAGGACCAGTGCATGTGTATACACACATATACACCAAATAATAATAACAAAGCTAACCTTTTTTTTTGGGGGGTGGCAGTCCTGGAGCTTCAAGCTCTGGGTTTGGGCTCTGTCCCTGAGCTTCTTTTGCTCAAGGTTAGCATTCTACCACTTGAGACACAGTGCCACTTCTGCTTTTTCTGTTTATGTAGTACTGAGGAATCAAACCCAGGGCTTCATGCACGTGAGGCAAGCACTCTACCACTAAGCCACATATCCACAGCCAAAGCTAACCTTTTATTAAGCAAATTCGTAAGACTATACTACTCCCTTTAGGAAAATGCCAGGCCAAACAGCATTGTACTAAGGCTTTAGAGCAGTTTCAAAACTCAATTTTAAAACAGCTCATTTCCTGTAACTTCCTATCTTGTTACTTCTGTGTTATTATATACAGCATAAATTTATAATTAAAAGTTGAATTAAAGCTAAAATGGAACTCTTATATACTGACCAATTTTCCCAAAAGGATCATCTTTAAAAGGATCACCTGTGATAAAATAAACAGAAATTACAATTACATGATTACAATTACAATAATTACAATTACATTGTGTGGAATCATTAGTGAAACAGTAATTTTCAAACAGAAAAAGCAAGTTAGTTACAATAGCTGTATTCAAAGTAAATTATGAATATCACTCATTTTAGGAAATATTTAAGATAATAAAGAATAAAAGCTGAATTCAATACACCTCATAAAAAAGGTAAATCTAGGGCTGGGATGTAGCTCAGTGGCAAAGCACTTGCCTAGCAAGTGCAACGTCCTGGGTTCGATCCCCAGTACCAAAAAAGAAAAGACAAAAAAAATACAGTTAAAAAAAAAAACCCAAACAAACAAACAAAAAAACCAACCCTTGGGCTGGGAAGGTGGCTCAGTGGTAGAGCACTTGCCTTGCATGCTCAAGGCCCTGGGTTTGATTCCTCAGCACACATAGGCAAAAAGAAAAAAGCCGGAAGTGGCATTGTGGCTCAAGTGGTAGAGCACTATCTTTGAGCTGAAGAGCTGAGGGACAGTGCCCAGGCCCAGAGTTCAGGCCCTATGACCGGACCCAAAAAACAAAACAAAACAAAAAGGTAAATCTAATAGAATACAATTTGACAGCTATGAGGAAGACAGGAATATCAGCAAAAATTTTACTAACAAAAGCTACTCTTCATGAGAATAATGGATGGATCATCATTTTAGGAATGAAGATTTAATGAGCTTCAATGGGGAACGTCTTACAGAATTAAGTAGTTCAGAGGTAAACCATTTAATTAACAACTACCTATTAATTAATGTACATCCTGAGGCTTGAATTTAGGACCTGAGCTCTGTCCCTGAGCTTTTTTGCTCAACTCTTGCTCTCTACCACTTGAGCCACAGCTCCACTTCTGGCTTTTTTTTTTTTTTTGAGTAGATTATTGGAGATAAGAGCCTCATAAGAATTCCTGCCTGGGCTGACTTTGAAACTCAATCCTCAGGTCTAAGCTTCCTGAGTAGCTAGGATGACAGGCATAAGCCACTGGTACCTGACTTATGATTTTAGTACTAGTAGTATTTTTGCCAGTCTTGGGGCTTGAACTCAGGGCCTGGGCATTGTCTCTGAGCTTCTTTTGCTCAAGGCTAGTACTCTACCACTTGAGCTACAGAGCCACTTCTGGCCTTTTCTGTTTATGTTTATGAATGGAACCCAGGGCTTCATGCATGCTAGACAAAGCCTAGCCACTAGGCACATTCCCAGCCCAATTTTTGACAAAGGCATTAAGAACACACAATGGGAAAAGGATAGTCTTTTCAAAAATAGTACTTAGACAGTGGATTCCACTTGACAGTATATACAAAAATGAAAAATGAATTAAAGCTCTAGATATAAAAACTAAAACTACAAAACTCTCAGAAGAAAATACATGAGTAAATTTTGCTACTTTGTACTAGGTAGTAGTACATTTCTTAATATGACAACAAATACACAAGAGAACATAGATAGGTTGAACGCCATCAAAATTAGAAACTATTGTGTACAACATTAAGAACATGAGACAACATAGAATGCTAAGGATATATTTCAAATAATATATTTGGTAAGAGTGTATTTGGAACATGTAAAGAGCTTTTACAAGTTAACAAAAAAAGATAAACACTCCTATTATAAATTGGACAAAATGACTTGGGGGTGATGGTACTGAGATTGAATTTAGGGCCTGGTTCTTGCTAAGCAGGTATCCTGTCGCTTGAGCCACATCACCAGCCCCTTTTTGTATTGTTTATTTTCCAGATAGGGTCTTACTTTATGTTCAGACCAGTCTGAGCTGGTATCCTTCTACTTCTCAGTGTCTATAAGGATGACAAATGTGTCACTGTGTCAGTCATTGTCTTTCCCCAGCAACTGGGATAACAGGAGCATGCCACTGTGCCCAGACACTGGTAATGAAGTTTTTCATGATAGCCTCAAATTATGATCCTCCAAATCTCTACTTCCCAAGTATGTGGAATTACAGGTTTGAGCCACCACACCTAGCAGGGCAAAGTAATTTGATACTTAATATGATTTGAGCTTTTTTTGGTCAAGGCTAAGTGCAAGTACTCTACCACTTGTCCAAGACTCTCCTGGGTTTCACAAGTTAATTTAGGAAATAAAACATAATGCAAAAGAGCATTGACACAAGTGATATTTAATATAGTGTACACTGGCATTAATCATTTTAGTTTATTGAAGTTATATAATTTTTCAATAAGGCATAAGTAACTTAAGGGGTAAGAATCAGATTTCTGACTCTGCTATTATATATTCATTGTTTTAAAAGTTCAGAGTTGGCTTCTTTGTTTTTTGGAGACAAGCTCTAGTTCTGTAGCCCAGGCTAATCATGAACATGCAATCCTCTTTCCTCAGCCTACTAAATGTTTGGATTACATGTACATGAAACCATGTCTGAACTAGTATTAGTGTTTTTAGCAACTAATTTACTGGTTAACTTCAGAATCCAATCTCCAATTACTGCTCTATAACACGTCTTTCCTTTGGGTTTCTATTTTTTTTTGAAGATGATTTAAAACTTTTAATGTTAATTTTTTTAATTGAAAAGTTGGTGTTGGGGGTTACAGTTACCTAGGTAAGACAGTAAGTACATTTGTTTTTAATCACCATTACCTCACCCCCCTTTTTATTTTGGTCGGTTGTGGGGCTTGAACTCTGAGCCTGGGCACTGTCCCTCAGCTCTTCAGCTCAAGGCTAGTACTCTACCACTTGAGCCACAGCTCCACTTGCAGTTTTCTAGTGTTTTATAGGAGATAAGAGTTTTACGGACTTTCCTGCCCAGGCTGGCTTTGATCCTCAATCTTCAGATCTCAGCCTCCTGAGTAGCTAGGATTACAGGCATGAACCCTCTTTATTTCCCAGTTACTCCTCCCTACTCCCCCCAAGTTGTAATGTTCATATCCCACATAGTGTCAAGTGGTATCAATGTTGCCGTGGTTCACCCACTGTTCCACTGTTTCTGTGATTCCCTTTCCCTTCCACATATTGCATTGTCTATTATGCATTGTTTATTATGTCCTACTTTTAAAAATATAATTTTATTGTTTTTATTAAGGTGTTATCCAGAGAGGTTACAATTTCAATGAGTACACTTTTTTTTTTTGGTCGTTTGTGGGGCTTGAACTCAGGGCCTGGGCACTATCCCTGAGCTTTTTTTCACTCAAGGCTAGCGCCAGTACTCTACTACTTTGACAGTGCCATTTCTGGTTTTCTGGTGGTTAACTGGAGATAAGAGTCTCACAGATTTTCCTGTCCAGACCAGCTTCAAACCGCTTCTCAGATTTCAGCCTCCCAAGTAGCTAAGACTACAGGCATATACCACCAGCATCCAGCAATGAATATAATTCTTTTTGGACAATGTTATCCTCTTCTTTGCTTTCCCCGTTTCCTTCTCCCATCTCTGTCCACAAGTTGCATAGTTCATTTTTACACACACTGTCCTTTGAGTCCTATTTTTTGTTTTTGTTGTTGGACGTGGGACATGAACTCTGGGCTTGGGACCTGTCCCTTAGCATTTCAGCTCAAGGCGAGCGCTCTACCACTTAAGCCACAGTGCCACTTATGGTTTTCTAGTGGTTTATTGGAGATAAGAGTCTCACAGACTTTCCTGCCCGGGCTGGCTTTGAACCATGATCCTCAGATCTCAAACCTCCTGAGTAGCTAGGATTACAGGCATAAGCCATCGGCGCCTGGCTCTTTGGGTCCTATTTTTAAGAAGCACATACTTTTAATCATCATTACTCCATCCCTCTTTATCTCCCACTTACCCCTCCCTATCTCCCCCCAAGTTGTAATGTTCATATCCTACATAGTGTCAAGTGAGTATCAGTGTTACTGTGGTTCACCCACTGTTCTGCTGTTTCTGTGATTCCCTTTCCCTTCCACACACTGCACTGTCCATTATGCAAAACACGAGGTACTGGGGTCCTATTTTAAAAAGTATAATTTGGTATTGTTATTATTAACGTATTATACAGAGAGGTTACCATTTCAAAGTCAGGTAATGAGGATACTTTTTTTTGGGGGGTTCATAAAATATAATCAAAGAATAGTCTTAAGATTTAGTTAACTGTCAAGGATAAATATTAGCAAATTTAAGAATATAAACTCTTACTTACCTCTACATTTGTTAACAAATGTGCTATCAAAATAGAACTCCTACTTGTACTTGTACTTCTACTTGTACTTGGAAGATTAACATGATTTGTGATTTGAGGCCAGTCTAGGCAAAGAGTTTGTGAGACTCTCATCACAATCAATAAAAACATAGTGTTGTAGTGCGTGCCTATCATTCCAGCTACACAGAAGTATTAGTAGAAGGATCAGGGTCCATACTAGTCTAAGCATAACTTTTGAGAGTCTATGAAAAACAACTAAAGCATAAAAAGAAAGAGATAGGATTATGGCTCAAGGGACAGAGTGCTTACCTAGCAAGAGCAAGGCCCAAGGTCCTGAGTTCAAACCATAGCATCAGAAAAAAAAAACAAAAACAAAAACTGAAGCCATAATTCTGATAGCTTATACATTAAAAAGTCTTGTTCTTTGTCAGGAAGCTAGAGATGTAGTTTAAATGTTAGAGCACTTGCTTACCAAGTACAAGGCTCTGAGTTCTAATACCCCCACCCCACCTTTATTTTTTGCTAAACTTATATAACAAAGATACTTACTGCCAACAAAAGGATCAGACTGGAAAAAATCCAAGTTTGTATCTGCAGCTGGTTCTGTCAGTGCACTTGAGTCTACATTAAATGGATCTTCCTAAAAATAATTTTTAATTAAAAAAAAACTTTTTAGGAATCAAAGTTTTAAAATGTAACATTTAAAATTAAAATAACTCATATTCATATCATACATGTGCTTTCAAAATCAATAAAAGTTTTTGCAGTTGCTCTCAGCTCTTTTCTAGCTCTCAGCTTTTTCCTTCTCTTCTCTTTCCCAGCTGTCTTCTCTTTTCTAGCTCACTCTCTACTCTTTTCTAGCTCGTTTCTCTCTCTTTCCCAGCCTACTGAATAAACCTACCCCTTACCTGAAAAAAAATTTTTTTTTCAGTAATAAAGAATATTTAAAATAAGGGTGAAGGCATGGCTCAAACCAGTAGCGTGCCTGCCTGACAAGTGTGAGACCCTGAATTCAAACCCTATTATTGCCCCTAAAAGAACACTTAACACATTAGTGATAAGAATCTTTAAGAACCTTCAAATACAAAATTATGTTTACCTCTTTCGAATGTCCATCATCATATTCAGGACTAACTTTCTCATTAACAGTTACCGTCAGCACTTCATTTTCATCAGTCACATCAGAAGGTGGTAGTTCAGGACTACTTCTTGCCTACCCCCCAAAAAAACCATAAAAAATATATGTATATATATATATATATATACACATACACACATACATACCTACCTACACATATATGTATGTACATATAATCTACATATGTATTTATATGTGTGCTGGGATCGAACTCAGACCTTTGAGAATGCTAGGCAAGGACTTATGTATATTCTTTGTCGCTACCTGCCTGCCTGCTTGCCTACCTACCTACATATTTGACTGATGTTGGTGCTGGGGATCAAATTCAGGGCCCAGACAATCTCTCTATCACTGACCTATACTCCTAGTCTTATCTACAAAATATTAATGTAACATGGATTAACAATATTCTTTTCTTTTTTTATTGGGGAGCCTTTTTTGTTTTAGGTTATTTTTCACATAGGTACTGGCATTTTTGCCTAGGGGTGGCCTCATATAATGATCTTCCTATCTCAGTTTCTCATGAGGCTGGAATTATGCCCAGCCCAATAATATTGTTTTTGACTTGGCAGAAGAAACTGATATAAAAGAAAACAAGTTATGCAAGCAAGAAGATAAGCAGTACATAGTCACAGAATGATTTCTTCTTCTATAATCAGTCTTAGAAAAATGATGTAAGCAAGCATCAAAGCCACTTAAGCTAAAGACTGTCAGGTTATCTTTAACCACTTTCTTTTTCATCATCCCACAGCTAAAAAAAAAAAAATCAAGATTCCAAATCTTGTTCAGTTTGTCTCATCCTCTTTTTCAAAATCTTCCCTTTTTCTCCATCCTCATTATCATTTTTTTTTTAATTTACAGTATAATCATCTCAAGTCAAGAATGCGATGGTAGCCTCCCATTTGTCTTCTGGCCACTAAGATGTACCCTTCTAAACTACTCTCCCTATGGTAGTAAAACAATAGATTTAGGATATAAATCTTGTAGTGCTTCTGGTTAAATGTTATTCAAGGGTTTTTCACTGTTCTCTTGATTTAGATCACTGGATAAAAAGGCTTAAAAATTAGGGAAATTTATTTTACCCTTATATGTTTGAAGGATAATCTAGTAATCCTCTTGTTTTTCTTTTTTGTTTTTTTTTGGTTGGTCATGGGGCTTGAACTCTGGGTCTGAGCACTGTCCCTCAGCAATTCAGCTCAAAGATAGCACTCTATCACTTGAGCTACAGTGCCAATTCTGGTTTTCTAGTGGTTTTTATTGGAGATAAGAGTTTCACAGACTTTCCTGTCAGGACTGGCTTTGAACCGTGATCCTCAAATCTCAGCCTCCTGAGAAGCTAGGATTACAGGCATGAGCCACCCGACAGGATTGTGAGTTCTAGACCAGCTATCCAAAACAACGAAAACATAAAAAATAAGCAACATGATTAAAAATGTGAGAAATATATAGAGATATATTAGGAAGGTTGGTAGTCTAAATGAGTTTTGACCTAAATCTAAGCAGGTAAATTGATGGGATGACAATTTGGGGAGCTATTAAGGATACAAAATTGTATAGACTTCTATAAATTTAAATTTGGCAGTCATAGATATACTGTTCTGTATTCTTTCAAACAAAAAGAGGATTATAGCCAGGTGGCTCATGCCTGTAATCCTAGCTTCTCAGGAGGCTGAGATTTGAGGATCACAGTTCAAAGCCAGTCCTGACAGGAAAGTCTGTGAAACTCTTATCTCCAATAAAACCCACCAGAAAACCAGAAGTGGCACTGTAGCTCAAGTGATAGAGTGCTATCCTTGAGCTGAAGAGCTGAGGGACAGTGCTCAGACCCAGAGTTCAAGCCCCATGACCAACCAAAAAAAAAAAAAAGAAAGAAAAACAAAGAGGATTACTGGATTACCCTTCAAACATATAAGGGTAAAATAAATTTTCCTACTTCTTTTTTTTTTGGGGGGGGGGTCCGGTCATGGGGCCAGAACTCTGGGCCTGTCCCTCAGCTCTTCAGCTCTAGGCTAGCGCTCTACCACTTAAGCCACAGTGCCACTTCCAGCTTTTTTCTTTTTGCTTATGTGGTGCTGAGGAATCGAACCCAGGGCCTCAGGCATGCAAGGCAAGCACTCTACCACTGAGCCACCTTCCCAGCCCCAAATTTCCCTAATTCTTAAGCCTTTTTATCCAGTAATCTAAATCAAGAGAACAGTAAAAAACCCTTGAATAACTTTTAACCAGAAGCACTATGACAAGATTTATATCCTAAATCTATTACTACCATAGGGAGAGTAGTTTGGAAGGGTACATCTTAGTGCCAGAAGACAAATGGGAGGCTACTATCGCATTCTTGACATGAGATGATTATACTGTAAATAAAAAGAAGTACTTGTGGGGCTGGGAAGGTGGCTCAGTGGTGGAGCGCTTGCCTTGCATGCCTGAGGCCCTGGGTTCGATTCCTCAGCACATAAGCAAAAAGAAAAAAGCCAGAAGTGGCGCTGTGGCTCAAGTGGTAGAGCGCTAGCCTTGAGCTGAAGAGCTGAGGGACAGCACCCAGGCCCAGAGTTCAGGCCCCACAACTGGACCCCCACCTCCAAAAAAAGAAGTACTTTGTGTGTGTTTTTTAAAACAATCATGCCCAACAGAAGTACTGTTGTTTTTTTTAAACTTGTCCTATTAAAAAACACACCAGTAGCCAGGTGCTGGTGGCTAATGCCTATAATCCTAGCTACTCAGGAGACTGAGACCTAAGGATCACAGTTCAAAGCCAGGCCAGAAAGCAAAGTCCATGAGACTATCTCCAATTAACCACCAGAAAATCAGAAGTGGCGCTGTGGCTCAAGTGGTAGAGCACTCCCCTTGAGCTGAAGAGCTCAGGGACAGCACCCAGTCCCAGAGTTCAAGCGACCAATAAACAAAAACAAAACTAAACAAAAACACTAGTTAAAATTACATGCAATACTAGTTAAAGCCATTAAAATTACTGAATTAGGACTCATTGTTGTGCAAAAAGAAATGATTATTATCTTCAAATGAGTCACGAGAGCATTTATATTGTATATGATGCCAATAAATCTCTGCTCAGCATCAATCTTTTGTCCTACAGTGAATGGTGAAGGTTATGGAACAACTTGACTCACTGGAGACTCCTGGTGTATGGGCTCAGACTCTAGGGTGCTCTGGCCTTCAGCATGTTCATTAAGGTTGGCTGTTTCACTGCTGCTGGTGCTGAGGCTACAATAATCTGTAGCACCATTTACAAGAATGCTGTGTGGGCTACTGCAACAATTTGATTGATTATTAGGATTTTCCAGATCTTTCATTTCCATCAGTCTCATTTGCATCTGTCAATAGAAAGTAGAAACAGAAATAGAGTTTATTGCTAGAAATATATTTAACATAAAAATAGCTACAACCCTAGACTTGGGTAAATGGTAAACTTGTTTCTTGCCAGAAGAATCCTCTGGGAATGCAGCATGACTTTAAAAAAGAGGTTCAGTAAACTCTACCAATAAGTTCTCTTGAAATTCTAGTATAATGTATTTGTTTTTGCAAATCTTCTGAAACCTCCAAGAAATTTGATTCAGATGTCTAGGTTAGTGGAGGGAATGATAGCAAAATAAAAAGAAAGGAGAGTCTGTGATTAAGTTTTAAGAGAGATTCAGAAGCCAAAGGAAAACAGAAAAGGCTATGGAATCAGCTATATTCCTGTTGGGAAAGGGAGTCAAGACAAGGGTAAAAACAAATTAGTATCCTAGCTCTGGCACTATTAACCCTCAAAAAACCAACAGCTAGGTGTGGTGGTGCACAACTGATGTGGAATAATCTCAGCATTCAGGACTTTGAGGCAAGATGATCAAGAGTTCAAATCGCCTAGGGACTACATAGCAAAATTATCTGAAGAAAAAAATATCAAAACAAATCAAAAGCAATAATATGAAAAATATTATGTACTGTTTGGCTTAATCTATATGCAAAATCCAAAAACAATTAATCTATGGAGGCATAAAGCAGATTATTAATTACCAGGCTGAAGACCCTCCTCCAAACATAACTAAAGCAGAAAGGGCTGGGGTATGACTCACGTGGTAGATAACCTGCCTAGCAAGTATGAGGCCCCAAGTTCAAAACCCCAGTGAAAGGAAGAAAGGAAGAAAGGGAAGGAAGGAAGGAAGGAAGGAAGATGAGGAAGGAAGGAAGTAAAGAAGGAAGGAAGGAAGGGAGGAAGGGAGGGAGGAAACAAGGAAGGAGGGAGCGAGGAAGGAAGGGAGGGAGGGAGGGAGGGAGGAGAAAACTACCTTGAAGAATATCATATTCACTCATCTGGTAGCATTCCTACAACGATAACTATTTTGTGTTATCTAAATATTGAAGACCTATACTGGAAAAAGAAACATGCTAAATGATAATGTAAAAAACCAGCCAGGCAAATACACAAAAGCAAACCAAAAAAAAACATGTATCAACTTTTATTTTAAAAATGGGGCTAAGAAGCTAATTCTTATATTACTATAACAGAAGGACAGAGAAATAAGACTTTAAGCCATGTCTTGCAAGATAAACAAGTTGTCACCTGCCAGATAAGATGGAGAGAGGAAACATGAAAGAATTCATTATATACAATAACTGAGAACCCCAAATGAGTTTTAGAAGACATATTTTAGAAACTCTTGAAAAGGTTATATAATCAATGACAAATAAACTTCCTTTGCTTCAGTTTGTTCAAATTCACAACGAAAGAAATGGACTATATGAAATCTATGCTCTTATGTAAACATCTCATTTTGATTCTCTATTCTCTATGTAGAAAAGCCTAGACACAAACAAGTAAAGGATCTATATATGGAATCAAACACAATACTCCATATTTACATAATTAAAATAATAAAGATTTCTATACAAGCAAAATTGATTTTAAAGTTAGAATAAGAGTAGATTATTATTTATAAAAGTAAGTGACACTTATCAAGCATTTATGTACCAAATCTTTTCTATAACATTTCATAGGTTTTTGCCCCATTTATCCTCACAACATTCCTAAGACACAGGGGGCACTCCATTTTAAGCATGAAGAATCTGACATTGAGATGATTCACCTAGTAAATGGCATACCCAGCATCTAAACCTAGAGCACTCAACTAAAACCCACACTATTATCTACTACTCCAGTGATCAATGATCAACAGAAGTACAAAATAAGTGACAATTTTAATGAATCTGGCTAAAAGAAATCTAGTTGTATAAAAGAACTAAAAATTAAATCATAAATGAAATAGATAAAGGAGTAGGAAGCACTATTGTCTAGCAGGCTAGCTGAGAGTCCATTTCAGCACACTCTTTGCTTCACTTACTGAACTGATTTCCTGTTGTGAATCATGTAGGTGCTGCTGAAGAGGTTCCAGCTGAGCCTTCCCTGACTCCACACTCTCCTCTAATTCTGCTGTTTCTTGTTGCAGGCGGCTCAGCTCTTCTCTAGCTTTGGCCAGTTCTTCTTCATAAGTAGAGATCTGTGATTCTTGACTAGTTATTTCAGCTTTCAGAGAAGAGATCTGAACATGGGGGTAAATGAAAAGAAAGGATAAGGAAAACATCACCAAAATGTTAATTTAGTTTACTATTTTAGTATTTTTCTGATGAATTATTTTTGGTCATAAAAGATAACCATGAGGAAGGCAGGAGTATATAGTTGAAGGATAGTTGACAAAAAAAGAAAAAAAAAAAGGCAGGCACTGATGTCTCAAGCCTATGATCCAGCTACTTAGGAGTCTGAGATCTGAAGATCAAGGTTCAAAGCCAGCTCAGGAACACAAATTCAAGAGACTCTTACTGTCCAATGATCAGCAAAAAGCTGGAAGTAAAGTTCTGGCTCAAGTAATAGAGTGGCAGTTGTAAATGAAAAAGCTGAGGGGGAACTAGAGGCCCTGAGGTCAAACCCCAATAATGGTATATACACCAAAATATTTCTGGAAATGTTTTCTAAAATATTTTCTAAAATAGTGTCTTTCTATTTCCATTAAAGAGAACTTGTAATGTCTGATGAGCATTATGCCTCTAATGTGCCAAATGCTAATAACTAGACTGCCACATAACAATAGAGAATATATTTTCATCTTAAGTGAGGAAAATCAAAGAAGATATACAATAAACAGATTTTACCAGCTGGGCCTCCTCTGCACATTTCTTTCTGACTTCCTTGAGTTGTTCCTCCAGCTGGGCTTTCTGTTCATCTAGTTCTTCAAGGAGTTCCTGTACTTGCTGCTTCTGGGCCTGTAATTTTTGCAGATTAACATTTTCCCTCTGAACTTCATCTTGAAGATCCTGAAATACAACAAAATCAATATATTTATTGTCATTGGGGGCAAGGAAAGGGTAATTTTTCTCTTTTTGGTCATGGGGCTTGAACTCAGGGCCTGGGCATTGTCTGAGATTTTTTTCTTCAAGGCTACTGCTCTACCACTTGAACCATAGCTCCACTTCTGGGTTTTTGTGGTTTAATAAGAGTCTCATGGACTTTCTTGCCTGGGCTGGCTTTGAATTGTGATCCTAAGATGTCAGCCTCCTGATTAGCTAGGATTACAGGTGTAAGGCACCAGTTCCCAGCTAAAGTGAGGGTTATTTTTAAGTGTATCTTAAGAGAAAAAGTCTTGCATTGAATATATCATTTTGGTAGAATACAACACTCATAGCTTTATGTGATCTTCATTTAATACCTCTTCCAGATTTAGATACTCAATTTGTTTACTAAACTCTGTAGGGGATGTCTGACGGTCTTCTCTGATGAAAATAGAACTCCGGCCATTTCTGTCTACATCTGTTTTAACCTCAATCTTCCTCTTCTTAGTTTCTCTGCTCAAAAAAAAAATAGCATCCTCTTGAACTCTTCCTCTCACATTTCATATTAAATCTGCCAGCAAATCTGATATTACTTCCTTCAAGAGATATTAAAAAATGGGCCATGTCTTTTTTTCAATGCTAGTACAAGTTACTTTCATATTGTCTCCTGGACTGCTGCCTTTCAACTAGGAAAACTGTTTCCACTCACACCACCTTTCGATGTGTTTTTAGCATCTTGAAAACTATTTATAATCTATGTCAAATATCTTACATTCTCACTTGTACACAGGAATGAAAACAGTGGTCTCACAGAAATAGAACACAGAAGCGATTACCAATCTAGAAGATGTGGGAAGGAAGGGAGGCCTGGGGAGAAAACAGACAATGTGGTACAGCTGGATAAGATAAATACCTGCTAATTTACTCTGTAACATAATAGAAGTATGCCTAACAACAACTACCTGAATGATTAAAAATTAATGGAGGGAACTCTGCTTGTTCTCAACATGAAGAAATAATATATCAGAGCTAAAAAATATATTTGCCCTAATTTGATCACTGAACATTGTATTTCACACTGTACCCAATAAATATGTATAATTATGATGTATGTAGAAGTAGGAATTGAACTTCAGGCTGTAAGCATGTTAGGCAAGTACTCCACTATTTGAGTTATACTTCCAGCTGAAAATATGTTTAAAAATAAAGCGAAGCCAGGCACTGGTGGTTCACGCCTATAATCCTAGCTACTCAGGAGGCTGAGATCTGAAGATCACAGTTCAAAGCCAGCTCGGGCAGAAAAGTCCATGAGAGTCTTATCACCAATAAACCACTGGAAAACCAGAAGTAGCGAAACAAGCAAAAACATCTATATCCAAGTATATCAACTTCTTTGCTCAACACCTTGCATGGACTCTCCATCTCATAAAGACCCAAAGTCCATTACTCTCAAGAATGGTACATTAGTACCACTATGGATACAAAAGAGATGTCAATTGATTACACATATAAGAATTATTAAGGAAATAGGGCTTAATTCTCTTTAGGATCCTTATGTGGGAAAACAGAACCGATTAATAACTATAAGTTATCCCTGTAGAAGGTAAGTAAAGATATCAAACAAGGTGAAACAAAGCTTTCCAATATGGTATCTTTTTAATAACATATTATTCAAATGTCCCAATAATCATTCATCAAATAAGAATCTAGGAATATTAGAAGAAAAATAGGGCTGGGAAGGTGGCTCAGTGGTAGAGCGCTTGCCTTGTATGCCTGAGGCCCTGGGTTCGATTCCTCAGCACCACATAAGCAAAAAAAAAAAAGCCGGAAGTGGCACTGTGGCTCAAGTGGAGAGCGCTAGCCTTGAGCTGAAGAGCTGAGGGACAGCGCCCAGGCCCAGAGTTCAGGCCCCATGACCGGACCCCCCCCCCAAAAAAAGAAAAACAACAGGTCTCTGAATTGCTGCATGAATTATACAAGAAAAAACATCTTCATAGTGGTGAACTGTTGAAACAGCTACAAATGTGTTATATAAGTGCTAGGCTCTTAATGCATTCGTAATTCATGTGACACATCTATGAAGAAGGTAATATTTCTACTCACATATTACAGGTGAGAAAACTAAGGCACAGATGGGCAATAAGTTGTCCAAAGTTATAAATTAGCAAGTAATGGATTCAAACTAGGTTCTAACTCCAGAGTTTGGGCCCTTAACTACCATACTATATACTGTTGACTGAATGTATTATATACAAGTATCACTATTTTTCAAATATACATAGGTTCTTTTGTGATTACACAAAAATAGAAAACTATAAATTTAATGTAGTTAAATTACTTAAGAGTCACAAACATAGGGAGAACTGAATTAAAGTCTCCCTGATACAAAATTGTTTTTTAAGCTTCTATGAAAACTGGGGGGCAGGGGGCGGTGAGGGGAGAAATTCACCATAAGGGTGAATCCTTAAATACTTGTTGAGTACTCAGAAGAAAAATTGTGTAGCAAGATTGTACACAGGCACTTTAAGGCAGGTCAGAATGTGGATCTGCCTTTCTCTTCTTAGAATAAAAAGCCCAAACCATAAACATTTGAGACAAAATGGCCATCCACAACTTTTTCTCTTTGTAACTGAATCATGTTGGGCCTAATTTTTCTGTAGAGCTTGATAAACTAGTAGTGCACCTCATAAAAGCTACCAATCATCATTTCATGAAATAAAATGATGTCATTTTCAGAAAAAAAAAAATCTTGGGCTGGGAAAGTGGCTCGGTGGTAGAGTGTTTGCCTTGCATGCCTGAGGCCCTGGGTTCGATTCCTCAGCACCACATAAGCAAAAAGAAAAAAGCCAGAAGTGGCGCTGTGGCTCAAGTGGTAGAGTGCTAGCCTTGAGCTGAAGAGCTGAGGGACAGTACCCAGGCCCAGAGTTCAGACCCCAGGACTGACTGCAGCCCCCCCACCCCCCAAAAAAATCTTGAACTGAATTTTCAAGATGTGAGTTCATGGGAATACACACAAAAGATGAGGTTAGAAATTATGAAAGGAAGTAGATGTTTTATTTTAACTGAATTAGAAAGACTATAAATACAAAGTAAAAATCTCAGCTAGGGGTATATCTCAGTGGTAAAGCATGTGCTTAACATGCACCAAGTCCTGGGTTCATTTATTCCTTAGCACCAAAACAAAATAAAGCCCACAAAAAAACAAAAACAAAAAAAACCCGTAAGTCTTCTTGGTTTGGAAAGCTTTTGTGCTTGAGATATAAGCTCATATAGTCACTGTATGTGATTTTTATTAATATGAAGAAAAACAAGAAAACTCAGATTAAGCAGGTTAAGCAGATACTGATACTCACTGATAGGCCAAAATGTCTTTACTTCTAGTCCCTAGTGCCTTCATTTTGGCATTCTCATTAGCACCTCTACTAGAAAGTATAGTTACATCCAGCTTTGGTGGCTCACACCTGTGATCCTGGGTAGTCAGAAGGCTCAGATTGGGAGGGTCATGGTTAGAAGGCAGCCTAGGCAGAAAATTCCATGAATTCTATCTCCAAAATAACCAGCAAAAAATCAGGACTGGAGGCATGGCTCAAGTGAAACAATGCCAGCCAAGCAAGCAAGCAAGCCAAACAAGCACAAAGCCCCAAGATCAAACCTCAGTGGTGCCAAGAAAGAAAAAGGGGAGAAAACGTAGTCATAAGGAAGCAGGGAGGTATAGTTTCGTTGATCTGCTAATAGGTGTAATAAACTGCTTTCAATAGTTTTGACTTCCCATGTCAATCACACATTTTAGATTCCACAAAATTTAAGGTACCTTACTATCACAGCTAAGTAAGAACAAATAAATCACTGAGAAATACTGACAACAAAGCTTACATAAGAAACCAAATGTTCAAGGATAACCCACTTAACCTGAAAACAACAATACAAATCTTTCAGTGCTCTTCTATATTGGCTATTTACATCTCCACTTTAAAAGATGCAGCAGAGAAAAACTAACAGGCAAATGTACTCAAAAAAAACAATCTATCACAAGAACATATGTACTTTAAAATAGCAACTGGCTAAATTTAGATGCAGTTCAAGATTATCTATCAGTGACTCTACTTATTTCTTCCAGATTGAAAAACTTTTGTAGATTTTTGTCTTCTTTTTCAAATTATTTCCAGCAATGACTGCCTAAAGTCAATGACTGTTTTACAATTCTTATGAAGGTTTAAAACTACACAAAAACAATGTAATTAAGTAAGTAACCCTCCCACACCTAATCTCATTGCCAGAAAGAGAAAATATATTGGAAATGATTTCTTGTTTTTTCACATCACTTTTAGGAAAATTCCAGTAAATAAATGCAATCATCTGGACACAGAATCAACTACCAAGAAGAAGCCTCACTGGCTTTTTCCTGAATCCTTCAGTAAATCATTCTCCTCACCCTATACTGGATGTACTACATCAAAGCAAAACAATGGGTCTAACAATTTAAGGCTGTTACATTTTTTAAACTACCAGAGAACCCAATATACAAGTTACATATTAAAGGTAGATACCTATCCATGAGCTTTTATTAGCAACTGCCACCAGTGCTTTTACATCCAATTTCCTTTATGTGCTAGAACAGCATTCAGGAAATGGTATGCCAATAACATGGCCCACATGTATTACTTACCTCTCTAAATAAAAGACTGTCCAATTTTCTATGTTTTTATAATGTTTGAAACACCTATTTTTTCTTATTTCCCAAATAGAGAAAGGTGTTATTTTTTTTACTTGTGAAAGGCAACTATATAATACAGTACTTAATAAAATTGAATTAAATTCTTTATTAGCATACATTGGTTGTACAAGGGAGGGTTTCAATATGACACTTCCACACATGTATACAATGTCTTCCAATTGAATAAAACCTCTTTACACCAAAGTTTGAGATATTCTGGGTACTAAGCAATTCATAAAACGTTATTTTAAATTGTTCTGTATCTCCTACCATACCAGTATTATGAGAAACAGTCTGAAAATACTAGGTCTCATAAAAATATTTGACATGCATGAAAAAGCAATTTGGTTTTTCATGATAATGATCATATGATCTCAGTTATTTAATTTTAGTGGTATAATAATATGCACATTAAGTTATTCAAAGTTACCTTTAATGATATACTATACAGGTAAATATTAAAATAGCTTCAAAACTTAAAATCCACATTGTAAAATACTGCTTTCTCATTGCAGTAAAATTTTTAAAGGCCAGAAATCAAAGCAAGAATATTCATTTTCCAAAAGATAAACATTATATCATACAAACATTAGGTATTGCCTGGACCTAACACCATATCAATCAAGTAGTAAATATATTTAAAATGAATATTCCTAAGTCAGAAAAAGGATAGTATATTTTGTAGTACACTCACCTGAACCTCACTTGTCCTCTGCTTAATAGTATCTTCTTTTTCTTTAAGGTCCTGTTCCACATTATTCTTTTCCCTAGAAGACCAGCAAACAATGCAGGAATATTTGAGAACATCAGCTACAGCTGGTATCGTTATCCATCCTCCTAATCCTGAATCGCTTTTTAAATACATGGTAAAACATTCAATTTTTAAATGAAGGGCAGATTTTTCTACCCTCTTTCAATTATTTATGGAACAGAAATCAATATAAGCTCTGTTTATAAAAAAAAATCGCTTCCTCACTAAAATGTGGTGAAAAGAGAATAGATTAAAAAAGGAAGAAGAGAAAAATAATCAATGAAACGGTCTGGTTTCACTGATCTCACTGTTGCTATGGAAATATCGTCCAATGAAAACTGCTGCTGAAGAGAAGGAGGAGTTGCATCAGCTCTATGAGCTTAACCCTTAAGAATCACTGCCAAATTAAATGAAAATGGCTAATAGAAACAGTGATCAATATTAAGGAAAAACATTTTCTAAACTGTTAATTTTCCCTCAAATCACCAATGTGTACTAATTTTGAAATGTAACCACATAGAGGAAATGGAAAAATTGTTAAAATGCAAGTAATTTGCTCTATAAAATATCAATCTTCTCAAAAAAGCTATTTTGAGAACACCTATCAAACTCAATTGATCAAATATAGGCAAGGCATATAATGTAAAAAAAAAAACCCACAATACCATTTATCTCATTAAATCGAACACACTACATTCTATTTTTAACCATGAAACATCATCTAAATTCTTATATGTTTTGATCATGCTATGAATGAATCTCAAATAACTTTGGATTCAGAACTGTAAAAGAAAGCTATTGCATTTGATATAACAAATTTAACAGTCCATGTTTACCAACATCAATTTTCCCCATCCCCCACAGCTCTTTTTCCTTTTCTACAGAATAAAAGAAAAAGCCCACAGAATTCTTCCACAAAACACTTTCAGGGTAGTAGAGGTATGGAAAGGTAAAAGATGGCAAAATGGAGAAAAGAGCATAGCATTTAATCAGTCCTTCAGATTAGCATGGCAGTTCACTACTATATTTCAATTTTTATCCTAGATATAACCTAATGTAAGCTTGGGCTCCATTTAGCTCTAGCAAAAAGGAAAGTGAAAAATTATACCGGAAGAGATACTTAAGGGACAAACTGATGTTTCATTATATTTCTCACTTTTTTGAAGTTAGATTTTAAGTGCAGACAAAACCAACTGTTTGGATATATAGGCAAAATGATCTTAAGATTTGTATGGAAGAAAACACAAAAACAAAGCAATTTGTCTAATGTTACTTTTCAACACCTGAGATGGCCAAGAAGCTCACTAACCGTTTGTCAGATGGATGGCAATGTGGGTCCCGATGTTGTGGAGATTTTAAACAGTTTCTTACCATGCGAATCATTGTTGCAGCCAGTTCTTCTCATCTCACAAAGTACTTGTTATGCAAAGGCCATCTCCCCACCTCCAACCCTTATCCAATTAAGCAAAATAGAAAAACATAGGGGGAAAATCTGAAAATACCACACAAATTCTGCAAGCTCAATCTTGGAAGTGTTTCCTTTCCTCTTTATGTGAGCAGATGAGTGTTTTCAGTCCTGCTGCAGTATGTCAGAAATAAGTCACATGAAAATCTAGTCCCCTCCCCCTACCCCAAATCCTCATGGGCACTCCTCATAAGGTCAGTACCACTTCAGCTTGGTTTGAGACAGATAATAACAAAAATAGAAAACATTACAAAGTATCATAGATCAGCACAGTACACACTGAGCTGTTCTTTTAACTCCTGTTACTGATAGTGCCTGCTCAAATTAAATGTGTATGTAGGGAAAATAGGACTGCTCTTAAGTGAGCTTACTTAAAAGTAGACAAGACAGAAGAATGCAAAGCAAAGGGAGGAAATTCACTAGGTGAAAAAAAGCAAACAGTTCACATAGGACTCTGAGCTATAATCAGCACAGTCCTTGTTTGAGTAAAATAAAGGAAACCTGAAGAGTACCAGTTTGTTTTTTTGTTTTTGTTTTTTTGGTCGGTTGTGGGGCTTGAACTCTGGGTCTGGGCGTTGTCCCTCAGCTCTTCAGCTCAAGGCTAGCACTCTACCACTTGAGCCACAGCACCACTTCTGGCTTCTTCTGCTTATGTGGTGCCGAGGAACCGAACCCAGGGCCTCATGCATGCAAGGCAAGCACTCTACCACTGAGCCAACTTCCCAGCCTTTTTTTAAGGCATTTATTGATTGATTGATTGATTGATTTGTGTCGGTTGTAAGGCTTGAATTCTGGGCCTGGGTGCTGTCCCTGAGATCTTCAGCTCAAGGCTAGTACTCTATCACTTGAGCCACAGTGCCACTTCCCAATGTCTGTTTATAATTTAAAGTGTATAGGGTGGAGAAATAGTGAAGAGGTCTTCAAACATACCCTGAGGACCACTATCAATTAAATAAAATACTGGAATCTGAGGACACTTAATTCTTCATAGTATAGAAACCAATTAAATTTAAATTTTTTTAATTTTTTTAAATTTATATTCCAGACGTGGGGCCTGAACTCTGGGCCTGGGCGCTGTCCCTCAGTTCTTCAGCTCAAGGCTAGCGCTCTACCACTTGAGCCACAGCGCCACTTCCAGCTTTTTTTCTTTTTGCTTATGTGGTGCTGAGGAATCGAACCCA